GCGGGTCAATCGATCGTCACAGCCAGGACAGTTACTGGATCGTCTTTCGATGAGTCGGGCACACCAATCACATCACTCAAGTATGAACACGTTCGCCTGTTCAGACGTGATAATTCAGATGCATCCAACGTGCGTTGGTGGAGTAGTGGTTACACGCTCACCTCGCATGTCAGATGTCCGGGGTTCGAATCCCGGCAAGGCCATTGGATATGCACTGCTGATGAGCTCTAGTAAGAGTGAAACTCGGGTCCAGTGCTTTGCCTTGGTGTGGACTCACCGGAATAATTACGCAAGAACAGTAACACGGCCGTTCTGAGGTTACTTTCAGGAATCTGACCTTCCTGGTAGTAACCTTTCCGGTTTGAAAGCAGTGTTCATGAGTAGTGCTCATTCTCTTTAAGTTCGGAGTTGCAGCAGATTACCTGCCAGATAGCTAAAACTGAGTCGCAGGGGGCGGTTATGGTCTAAATTTGACGCAAATACCCAAAGCTATATTTCCTAAGGTTGTTCACCCGGATATAATCCTTGGTCTTAAAAATATCCATCCGCCATTTTGCAAAATGTCCAAAAACGTCAGCTATGCGGGACGAAAGCGGAAAAGGTCAGGCTGCATACACTGTTTGTCCATAATTGTTTACTCTGTGGTAGCGTGGAGGTATCTTCCCGAATCTATGCGGCATTATGCCCGACAGCCAGGACGACATGCTATTTCTGGAGTCATTAGCAAGCCTAATGAGAAAAAAGCTTCCGAACGAAGAAAACCTTCAGTGTGACAGGTGTGCGGGGTTATTAATGCGATGGTTCTTGTGCGGAGTTGAATATGTTCGTTAGAGCAATACATGAATAGATAATGAACTCGTTTCCTGCCTTTGCTGATTCTTTTTATACCGAGATCTGGGATATTGTTCTAAGAATAGCCTCTTGCCAATCTTTTTGCTGTACAGATGATGAGCTCGATTAGACAACCCTTTTCTCCGTCTCCCTCTGTCTCTCTCTCTCTCTATGTATATTATATTATATATAACATTCTTCCTTCGCAACTGGAAGCCGTTCATCAGACGGTGTCATGAAACAGTGTAAAAGTGCAAATACATGTACTCTAACAATGGTGATGCAGCATGCATGTTCCCGGATTCGATTCAATCCCACACCAATTCAAACAGGAAATGAACAACTCCCCCACGTGCTACAGATGGCTGATATGAGATCACGTGCAACTCATTTTCATGGTTGCAGTTATGACCTATCATCGATTGATTTTGGGGCTTTTAATTGGAACGCCTACTGACACGGTTATTCAGTAGTGGAGTTTAACAAGTCCATCTCTTACCTTTCATCGTATGAATCATAGTCAGTCTATGGTAAGGAGCTAAGAATCAGTGCATAAGCTTTATAGCTCCGCTGATAATTAGCATAACACTGCATCGTGCGGGGTATTCTTAAACCGTACTGAAGAGAGGGTAGCCTCATTGACAGGTTGTTCGATTCTTCAGGGGTGGAACCATGACCAAAAAGGTCATGATTGTGATCTTTTTGCGATGACGTACCTTTCTTTGACCGATCAGTTCAACATTACTCTGTCCCTTGAAACAGCACCCTATATGTGATATAAGATCTTCATTGCACGTTAGCTGATGTTCCTGGGGACAACTGCATTTGATTTCAAAATGTCGTATTACTCTTATCAGTTTTCTGAACTTGAAATTGAAAGAGCCTTATATGCTTAAATAAAGCGGACAGACAAGGAACGCCTAATACTGTTTGCTGATTATTTAGCCATTAATCCATTCGCTGACCCTGTCAATTGGCTTGCAAACGTTTTGTTACCTTCAATCTACGGAAGCGTAGGTAATCCCTCCAATTCTACATGCGTCTATATAGTTTCTGAAGAGAATATAATTACTGCAACGTCGTTGGTTGTTTGGAGATCGGTTGGCATGAAATGTGATTGGTTTGGAATATGAGTCTGTATGTATCAGTTTCTCGGAAAATCACACCGGAAGCAAAAGTGGTGGACTAGAAAAAGCAACAGTTTTTACAGGATAGAGCCCCTAGTTTGGAAAATAGCATGAACGATTTATTGATTTCAGCTTATTTTGACTGTGAAACTACAATTGGCTGAAACTAAGATTAAAAAAGGTATCCTTCTTTCGAGTGTCTTGTAAGACGCCACAGAAAATTCTAACATTTCACCACAAAGTGCATCTCTCAGTGGAATTCAAGGACGACGACTATTCATAGAGAGAAACGAGAAATACGCTCTACTGCTGACTAGCTTTTCCAAGTAAAACGTGCAAAATTATGACCAATGACCACTACTGTATCGTGGGTGGCCGTCAATTGGTTACGTCTGCACTGAACCTGGTAGACTACGCGATAACGGGAAGACAGAGAACTCGGGACACGACTGTATTGTCAGGACAATACATACATACAGTCTGCGTAATTAATTAGGATGACTAAATGGCCAAATATTGTCGTTCATTTGTTCGTTCTGTACAGCCAATGGCGGTGTTACGGAAGTGAACTATTTCAGCCCCACTCCACTGGTCTTATGTTGCTAGGCCGTGTTTGATGAGCTCCGCCAACGTACCTGTTAACCGGAACGAGTGGTACCGATGATGACATTGGGGATGCGTCATTCTTTGCACATTTGCTTTTTTCGCGTCTGGGCGCGTCCTGACAAACACAAGTTATGAAAAGGAGACTGGAAAGTGAAAAGTGTTGGGCTTTCCAAAACTTCGGATACGTCACAGATACCATTCAGCTAGGCAGGAAGTTTCGTATTTTCATACTTTTTGTAAGCAGTCATTCGAAACTGAAATCTACGTTGTGTAAGAAACTAATCAAATTTTTACTGAAGACTCGTTGACAGTCCAAGACCAGTTTCAGCCACTCTTCTTGGGGCTTGCGAGTTGAATGCAGTCCCCGAACTACCTCAGAGCTGTGTTCTATTTGAACTCAAATAGGAGAGGATTTGGTCTTGACAAGGGACCCAACTAAATGCAGCGAAATTTATTGTTTCTGATGGTCCGCTCCGGCTGAAAGTGTTCCACCCAGGCAGTTTCATGTTTCAGCTGGTACAACATTCCAGACAATGCACTGCGATATCGTAGTAACTGAAACATGGGGTGGCCTTGTGTAGTACATTCGGTTAAAGCGAACCGTTAAGAAAATAGATTCGGCTTCGCGCAGCTTGAATCCCTGTCAGATTGGGAGTCCCCGAGCTTCCGTCAACATTACGTTCTACTTGACACTGTTTTCGGAGAATACACTCATTTGTAAATCATTTTGGTTCTCACTCAACTGAATCTGTCGTTTATGATGTTCCACAGCTGAATGTGCTGCACACAGGCCACCTCATGATTCAGTTGGGAAGATATCGCAGTATATTTTCATAAAGGTTGCCGAAAGCTCTCCGACAACCCACGACCGGTTTCGCCTTTGTTGGGGCTCCCTTAGAGGGAGAGTCAGACATTGATTAGATGTTTTTGAATATTTTGCTAAGAGAAAGTCCAAAAGATACAATCGAAAGACAACATGGAATGGTTCCAACGTCTTTAAACATGCTGTAGAGAGTCGTTTGCACGAGCGATGAGTTACTCGAGGAACAATTGCTTCCACAGGACACACTTCTGGGGAATCGATACGGGTCCATAGGAACGTGGTATCCAAACAGGAGTACTCTGTTTTGCTTGTCTCCAAGTAAGAACTATTTCTGTGAGTACTTATCAAAGAAAGTTAGAAATTCCTCGGTACTAGGCAAATGTTGACAGCAGCACTAAGCCGCATCTATTTAGGCGCCTATCCGAGAGTCGGGTCAGTAACCCTCTACCTCTCCGCTACTCACGTGATGCGAAAATTGAGGATAGATAGTAAGTGGCTGAGTAACGTCTCTCACCAGAGACACAAGCAACGTAACGAAATTCATCTTCATAGACTGTCAGGCACCTTTTGTCGACAGGTAGTTTGTTGACCCAATTAGTCACTCACAATCAAACTAACCGGATGTTTGAATTCAATGAATTTTTATTGATCAAGACGAAGCACACAGCACAGCAGCCGCTGATTCGAAATATGTGTCTCCCAGGGTAGTGGCCCCAACGTTACCCTGTGACAGTTGACAGCGTTTTATTGGATTTTCTTACGATGTCTGTATGAAGAGCATAGAGTCAAAGCTCAGCGATTGGGATAAGATGTTGCAAACCGGCGTTTCGGAGGTCTTGTGAAAATATTTTTCAAAATTTTCCGCAATAATTTGAATGCGGACCAAGTGCGACGGAATGAGGACTCATCGCCATATTTTATGGCTGACGTGTTCTTGAGTTCAGCTGTTAGTCAACCGTAAAAATCGATCACACAACACGGTTTGGACTTCCGTTCTACAAACCAAGTGAAGCTGAATTTTTTAAGGACAAGACCCAAGATGAATTAGGCTCGGGAATCCTAACCCTTGTTTCTTTTATGTTGCTGGCTGAGGGGTTTAGGTGAAATGTTTGTTCATCACCATAAACCGCGTCAAGCAATTGTAGAGCTCGGACAAGTTGTTTGATCAACTCATTTTCATTCTTGAGTAGGAACGAACTTGAGGAATATTTTATTCATTAGAGGGAGATCTACATAATAGAAAATCTGTGACTCTCAAGTTCCGATTTCCATCCCCCCAGGGACAAAATAACCCGAAATTGACGATGGATTAGGCACTCAACCCTAAAAAACAGCTTTTGAGGCGAATTGGCGACGGTGCTTATGTAGCAATTTAAATTTAACTTCTTTGTCATTCTTGGCCTATTCGTTCAGACCCACGCGCGTCATAATAGCAAATCAGACTGATTTATGATCGAGAGTCACGTGATAATTTGTTCCTTCTGTTCCTTCCGATTGATTTTACGTCAAACAGCCGCGTGTGAATCGCCCTGGCCTAACGTACGCAAATCTAACGAATTCAAAAATGCAAATTTTACGTCACTGTTAACTCTCCCCTCCCTTGTATTTCACAGGCTTCTTTTCTGATGCTTCTGAAAGAACAGGAGCGAAACTGGCGTGGGACGCTACTGGCCGTGATTGCTATTGGTCTGATCTCAGGGTTAATTATCCTGACTGCGCTATTTGTCACTTCGAGTAAGTTCAGAGTAATTTGTCACACTAGCAAACAATTTGGGTGCAGTCCGAGATTTTGAAATTTTATCGATTAATCTTGGAAATGACAGACTATGCTCTGAGGTCCTCGAAAACCTCTATTCAAATTAAATCCATTCGGAAACTAGTGTAGAAGGCAGATGTGTCCGACATTATTGGTTTAACGGGTGGCGGTTGATCTCTTCTTCAAGGCTGAAACCGATCGGCTTCTCTCGCCTTACTTGGGGCTGGCTCACCCCGTAGGCGCAGTCTCCTAGTTTTCGTCAATCTTAAGCTCTACTTGAACCCAAACTGAACCAAGAGATTTTGACAAATACTGTCGACTGCACACAAATTTGATTTTGACAGGATATTCCATTCAACTGAACCTCTCCTTTATGGTGGTCTTCATCATTTGGTACAGTATTCGAGATCTCGTAATACATTGTCTGGATGTAACATACTACTCATAAGGTCAGTGTTTTAAGGAACCTTATACGTAGTATGTCACAGCAAGATTTGGACTACCGTAGTGAAACGAATCTCCCTTTGAACTTTGAGGAAGTAATATCGAAATGCCTGGTAAAAACAGTTCTCACCTTCAGATTGAGCTAGCTACTTGCTCAGCTACTTCAATTTTGTAGACGTGAAAGTGAAACCCACCAAATCACTCACTGAGAACTGGCCACAAAGCGGTCTCGTCTGACTCATCTATATGTGATTCGTGTTCCTGACCAAGTAGAGAACACACAACTCTTATGCAAATTTTCCGGCAAAGACTTTGTGTTGTAAGTGAGTCGTATTTTTGATGTAAACCACAGAAGCATTTTACAGCCAATTCATCAGTAGTGCGCGTCTCACGAAATAGGGGAGTCCTCAACACTTGAGCGTTTTGCCACAAGAACTTGATGACTAACTATTCAGCACCGACTGGATTCGCTTACACGACGAAATCTCCATGGAAACTTCCTAAACCAGACACACATTTGATACTGGACTTGGTTTGACTGACGGTACACACCTCTGGAATGTCTAATTGGAGGTTCATTCTCAAAACTTTCTTCGGGCTAAAAGTCTTGGCTTTGTGCTAAGGCAAGGACTGCCTTTAGAGCAGGAGCTTTCTTCTGAAGGGGAGAAAGTAGCTTGCTTTCAAAGCAGTTCAAGGAGGGCGGAAGTTGAGTTTCAGAAACTTTGGTCTTGAGTGCCGCGGTGAAAGTGGGAAATTTCGAATCAACAGGTGTGAGCAGAATACATCGAATAGATGAGGAGTTAACCTAATTCCACGCCTCCACAATTGTTGACAAAATCAGTCGCGATTTCGAAACAAACAGGTGTAGAAATTTATTGTTTTACAGATTAAATATCCTCATTAGCGATAAACAGGTTTAACCCGAGTAAACGTGTGGCTCTGACGTGGTTGGCTCACTCTCATGAGGTATTTTCTCACCTATTATCGATGCTGTTTGGTGGGTCACGGACTGATAGGTCGGGCTGAACGGTGGTTAAAACTATCAAGCGTTCAAACACTGCACTATATCTTTTGACGACCAGCCTTCTGTAACGGACTAGTTCCAGATTAAACGTGTGATTCATGGTTCTGCCAACTGTCGTCAAACAGTTCGTCAACTCTGACGGTGATGATGGTGATGGGGACGTTTAACCGGATGTGACTAGGATCTGACAGCCAATCGAACCCCTTCGGCGTTTGTAATGTACCACTCATAAGGTTGCTGCCAACTGTCGACAGTTCGTCAACTCTGACGGTGATGATGGTGATGGGGACGTTTAACCGGATGTGACTAGGATCTGACAGCCAATCGAACGAACCCGGCGTTTGTAATGTACCACTCATAAGGTTGCTGAAAATCCGTCGACAGCCCACGACTGGTTTCGCCCTTCTTGGGGCTCGTCAGGTGGGCGCAGTCCCCGGGTTTCGTCAACCTTATGTTCTACTTGAAATCTAATTGCACGAAATTAGCGAAATACACTCATTTGCAAACTAATTCAGTTTTTCGAGAGACTCACCTGAATCTCTCAGTTTTGATGCTTCCAGGCAACTGAATGTGCTGCACCAAGCCGCTTCATGTTTCAGTCGCTACGATATTCGAGATATCGCGATGCATATATATTTTTGTAATGCATTACTCATAAGCTTGCTGAAAATTCTTCGAAACCGGTCATGGGCTGTCGAGGAGTTTTCAGCAACCTTATGAGTAGAGCTTCATATATATATATATATATATATATATATATATATAT